CCCCATGTGCGGGCGAGGGTTAAGTACCATTTCAAAGTCAAAGACAGTAAAATTTTGAAAGAAGGTCTTTGTATATAACCCTGGTGGCGTGAAAACAGATATACTGGAAGTCGGTGGGGCTATTTGAGACAGGCTTGCTAGCTTATGAAGCACACTGTAATGAATCAAACGAGCTAAAAGATTTCCCAAAACATTTAAGTGAATGTACTGCATGATTTCTTGTTCAATTGCACATCTTCATGCGAAGAAATAACAGAAAAATGTTAACCGGTTTTGATTTTATGCCGATTTTCCTCGATCGCTACATGCTGTATCAATTAGCCGGTTACCCTACCACATCAAGTACTTGCATGGGCTGACCTAACAGTACGTTCATGTGTTAAGTAATCTTCAATGGTGTTTTGGTCAACCAAGGCAGACATGTGTTGATTGTCGACTAAGTCAGTGACTGATGAAGCACATTTTAAGCACATATTCATCAGAATAACTGGTTTGGTCACCATAGGGTCATTATGTTATACTACGAACATGTAAATATTGCTTGCTGCTAAAAGTACCCAACATGAACCCATTGTACGTTTATGACCACGACCGATTCACCGGTGTTGCTCATGTCGAACGTTCGATGCACTTCAAGTAGATGGTGTTAAGTCTTCTCGGGTGCAATCGCATCACCATTATCAGTAGCCATTTCGCATATCGGTTGAGGTTTGACCAGCTGGACATCATCGGGATTCTGAGACAATGGGTTACGCAATCGGCAGTAACGTTAACAATGTATAATATTTTCATGAAAAATGTGCTTAGCCTATAAGTAAAACGGTAATAACGATAGATGCAGTGCCGAAGCTGTTAAAATTTCAACTATGTTAAGCTGCAGGTAGGGGTCCTTTTCGAGCAACTTAAATTGTGCGTTTTTCTGTACTTCGTATTTTCTGCCAAATTTCTTTCAAAACTTTTCGAAACTTTCATAAAGGTTATTCAGGTCATTCACTGTTCAATTCCACATCAGTCTAAGCAAAAATGACGAAAAAATATCAAACGGTTTTCATTTGACAGCGATTTTACTAAACCACTACCCTACTGTCTCAAATAGCCCCGCTGTCTCAAATAGCCCCACTTTACGGTACGCAATTTACAAGGCATGAAATAAAGATGTAAAGAAAAGAAAAGTTAGATTTAAGAAGAAGGGCGAAAAAAGACGTTAAGTTGCAAAGACACTGGTGTGGATTAGAAGAGTCAGACATTTCGTTTTTCTCACAGACAATGACAATACAAAAACAATGTAATAAGACCATGGTCTTATTACATTGTTTTTGTATTGTCATTGTCTGTGAGAAAAACACTGGTGTGGGTCCGTCGTACACGGGTGTCGGACCCTTAGAGCTGCTGGCGCGTACCCTTTACAAGCCGGCAGGGGGCTCCAGAGACCGGCGACGGGCCCTCAGAGACCGGCAAAGGGCCATCAGAGGCCGGTGGTACCTTCAGAAACCCTGTGAGGTCGTCTTTAGAGACCGGAACGAACTCAGACGCCGATGGGGCCCTCAGGGTCGCCGGTGTGGGGCCTTCAAATGTCACCGGTGGCAGGGTAGCCGTCACATGCGCACTTGTGGGGCCTTCAGAAGCTACGATGTTGGGCCCTCAGAGCCGCCGATATAGGGCCTTAAGAGGCATTAGTGTGGGGCCCTCAGATATGGCAATGTGGGCCCCTCGGACTGGAGGCGCCGGTGTGGGGGCTTCACAGTCGCCGGTGACGGCCCTCACAGGCGCCGTTGTGGGGGCTCTCAGAGACACTGGTTTAGGGCCATCACAGGCGCGCGTGGGGCGCTCAGAACTGCTGTTACGGAACGGACCCTTCATAGGCCGACAAGAAGATATCAAGAGGTCACCGGTGCCTTCAGGAGTTTGTGGGGTTCTCAGAGACTGGCATGGTGCGCTCAGACGCCGCTGGGAGCCTCCGAGTCACCTGTGTGGGGCCGTCAGGGTCGCTGGTAACTGACAAAGGCCCTCAGAACCGCCCATGTAGGGTTTTTAAAGGCATTGGTGTAGGGCCTCAGAGTTAGGGGTGTGGGGCCCTCAGAGACGCCGGTGTGGCGCTCAGGTGAGGGCCCTCACAGTCGCCGTTATAGGGGCCCTCAGAGAAATGGGTGTGGGGCCATTACAGGAGGGTGTGCAACTCCTAGAGCTGGCCCCCTATAGGCCGGTTAAGACCCCCAGAGGCCGACAAGTGGCCCTCAGAGGCTGGCTTGGGGCCCTTATGGAGATCTTAATGTAAGTACTTGTGGGCCCATGAGGTGTTCTTACGAGCCCTGTGGGGCCCTTCTGAGTCCAAATATAGCCAACGTGGACCCTCGGCGGCCAATTGGCGCCGCAGGGCCCCTCATGCCCGAATAACCCGATGGGCCCCTGAACCTGATGGGGGGGGGGGAGGAGCATGTGCCTAACGGGCCCACCTGGCTACGCCAGTGAGGAAAATCGTAAACCCGTAAATATCGAAATGCGATCACCTGCCATTTTTTTCCAGCGATTATTGTGATCGTCTGATTAACGCCGGAGCCTCGTAGCTATACCGTTGCCTCCCGCGCAATGTCCGCCCCTGCGGACCGCAGTGGCTGCTGCACCGGTGCTAATCGCGGTCATCGGTTTCTGTCACCTTATTACAGAGGTGCCGGGGCTGCTGCCGAGCTGCTGGCAAATGTACGAGTTTTTTTTTCGGAAAGATGTTTATGTAATGAGGAAGCCAAGTAGGTACTAGGACGACCAGAATGATTTTGAAGAACGTTCAACCTTTGGGAAATATTAGTGGAAATCCCGGGATTATCAGTACCTAATGGGGATACCCATTACCCAACCGTGCCTTGTACGGTTGTGCCCCATGGCAAAGCTGCAACTCTTCACCCGGTGCAGGGGTTGAGCAGTGGCCAGTGAGCACCCCCAACCATTTTGAAAAATCGACACCCCTGGCTGTGACGTCACATATTTGAAAGTTTGTGTTTGGAATATGGGAAGCCTAAGATGTTTAATGAAAAATAAATGCCAGAACCGTGTTCCTGGTCATCCAATCTATAAAGTCGGGCACAATTTAACTGGTTTTAACAACATTTTAGAAGGTGGGATAGTCCCTTTAAAGGTGGGATAGTCCGCCTCCATAGGTCAAATATTGTGAAAATAGCTGTTTTTATACAACTTTTTTCACGAATAACTTTTGAACCATCAACCAGCAAAGATGAAGAATTGGCAATGGCACTATCGTGTTTCTCTCCTTCAGCCGCTTCGAAACATATATTTTTACCTGGAAAGGTCAAGGTCAAATTTTGACCTCAGGTCAAGGTCACGTGGTGACCAAAATGTTGTCATGTTGCATACCATTCGATGCGTCTCGACAAGACAAACACATTGGCAAAGAGTTATTGGAGTTATTGGCAAAAATATGTTTGTAGCCTCAAATGGCCTCGGATGACCTTTCTAGAGGCTATCAGCAATAAAAGACACCTTGGTCGTCACGGGTGGTCCAAATCATTGTGATTCTGAAATATTTGGACTGTTCCTATGCGTACACAGTACACACGGATCTAGAGGCATTTTCATTTTTCTCCATTGACTTATAATGAAGAGGTCACGCCACTGTCCTGACCTTAGGTCACGGATATAAAAAAATATTCGAGATATATAAATTATAGGTGCCCATAACATCATGCAATGCAAGTTTAAAACCTCTCGTACAAACACTGCCTAGCCATGATTGCAAACTTTTTTAGGCTTGGCCAGTTAACTTGACCTGGTGACCTGACCTGACATGACCTGGGGTCAAAAATTTTACACATTGTCCAAAATTGATGTACAGAAAGATACTCGCGCCGCTGTTTTTTTTTCACAGGCAAAAAACACGACAGGGTGGTAACATATCCCCCCCCCCACGCACTGGGGCGAAGGTCAAGACTAAACGGCACAACGTAGGTATGTAAACTAAAGTACCTGAAACATTGCACCGTACTTAACTGACTATCGCACAAAATACGATGACTGTATTACCTGATATACAGCCTGCACCGCACAACATATCGTGACCAAGTCACCTGAACTATAGTCTGTACCGCACAACACACAATCACTGTATTGCCTGATATGCAGACTGTACCGCACAACACATGGTCACTGTATTACCCGATATAGGTAAAGACTGTACCGCACAGCACATGGTGACTGTATTACCTGAAATATTGACTGTACCGCACAATGTTCACTGTATTATCCGATATATAGACTGTACCGCACAACACATGATCACTGTATTACCTGACATATAACTAGACTGTGCCGCACAACACAAGGTTACTGTATTACCTGATATATATTAACTGTACCGCATAACACATGTGACATGATCACTGTATTACCTGACATATAGACTGTCCCGCACAACACATGTGCTACCTGATAAATACATAGACTGTACTGCACATAACACATGGTCACTGTATTACCTGACCTATAGACTGTACCGCACAACACATGGTGACTGTGTTACCTGATATATGCCCGAGACAGCAATTTGATAGTCCTGTGTACCTACCTACTGTGTAGGTATCTATTCTGTGTCCTCTGATGCAAAGGAATCGTTGCTTAAAAACTGGGCCCTTGAAAGCGAGTTCCGTATAAAGCACATGTTTTACATCAAAATCGGCCAAACATGAGGTCACTCTGACGTCATTTCCGGCCAACCTATGGTAGGTATCTATAAAATTTCCCTTCTGACGTGAGGTGTCAAAGTGATGTATCCGAGGACAATAGAGGTTTCATGTTGCACAGCAACATGAAACACAGCAGTATTGTGAGATTATTACAGAAAAACGGGAGGGAGTCAAGCGTGAGTTAATTGCCAGATTTTACACACAGTGGTAAGGTAAAACGAAATGCGCACAATGTGTATCCCATCGTTAATCGTATGTGCCTCACGACGCGCGGAGCTGCCTCTGATTGACCGGACCGGGTGCTTCCAGTGAGACTAGGGGCGGCTCGTATCTCCCATGTGATACCACCGCGGCGCGGCCCGGTCAGCCAACCACAACAGCTCAGAGCCCGATCCGCTACTACCGATCGGCAAACGACTGGAAATCGGTGCTCGCGCGCGCGCGGCTCCCGGTGCCCCAGTGCGGCGCCGGTAAATATAGTCCGGGCCACGGCGGACGGCAGACGGCACTGTGAGGATCGCAGTGGTGTCTGAGCGAGCCCCGGCCCCGGACCGCCCTCCGCCCACCGCCCTCCACCTACCGACCACCGCCCTCCGCACCAACCGCCATGGTGAGGACCCTGCGCCAGCGACAGTGTGTGAACATCCTAAAACGAGTGACGCTTAGATTAGAAACGGGTATCCAGCCGCAGTTCAGTCATATACGAGTACGACCAATGAGAACGATGCATGCTTTTTCCTATAGAACACGATGTAGATGATAGACATCTCATATTACATAGTTCCGTTCAAGCATGTGGATTTCTCGTTTGTCCCTGTAGACCATTTTTAACACTTTAGACATAGTCTACCTGTATGTTATTTCACTAAGTGGTTGAGCCCCTCAGTGCCACCCTGCCCCAGCCCACTGCCGGTTAGTTGTGCCAGAGTGGACCCCCGTCCGTCCGACCCGACTGCGCCCTGCCGAGTGAGGCACGAGCCCGCTGCCCGAGTGACTCACCCCCGTCCTGACTGTATTTTCAGGATGAACTGGACAAGGAACAGATTGCCAGTAAGTGCAGGCTACCGCTGTACGTGACCCTCCATATTTACCTTCAGCCAGGCTTTACGGCGAGTGTCTTACGCTCCTTCGTTTTCTCTTTCTCTGTTTCTGCAATTAAAGCTCTTTAGGGTGCTCGATAGGTATGTAAAAAATAAGATAATCATAAATCAGGCTACACTTTTGGGCTCAATCTTATAAACGCCGTGGAATGAATATGGCAGCACTAGCTGAAGTTCAGCTGCAGAAAACGGCTAGCAAATGCAAAATGATTTTCACGCATTTCAGTCCATCGTGCGTTGACTTTTCCAGAATCATTTCGTTGACTCGGATAACCTTTTGTCGGCACTGGTATCATTTGTAAATGCTACCAAATGCCGTGAATAGAATAGTACGGCATCTTATAAGGCACTGGTATCATTTGTAAATGCTACCAAATGCCGTGAATAGAATAGTACGGCATTTTATATAAGATGGGACCTTGGTGAGGACTGAGGATACCTACGACTCTAGGGCAAGGATGGGCAAGGTATTCCCTAAAGTCAATCAAGGGCATTCCATAAAGAAGGATAACGGACGACGAGAACAATGACAAAAAGTAACGAAATTAGTCAGACACTCGACCAATAGGACAAATGCCAGCCCATCAGTTGAGTATCTGAATGCTTCCTATGCCATGTGAATTTTTTTCTCCGAAATATGCACACCTCAAGCGCCGACTTGAAAAGCCCATGGACATTTGTAGAAAAAAGAAGGTTTGTAAAAAAAGGTAATATCGCTTCGGATATCCGATGACGCAAAGTAATGCAATTGTTTGGCTGCCCGGGCATGCTTGCTTTGACACCTGCCACTCGGAAAGTCTGCAGGCCACGTCTGTCTGCTGTGTCTCATGTCAGAACCATCGGGAGCAGATCGGATCGATCAGTGCCAATAGTTTGTTGTATTTTCTACATACACTCATTTTCATTCTCCACCATCGAACACAACTATCAGAGTGGTAGTGGAGTGTGTATGACGACTGCCGACACAAGACTGGCGATGGAGAGAGCCATCGTGCGATGGCAGTTGGTTTCCGGACGGTTAGGTTCTCAATGATGGTTGCAATTAATCAGTGGCAAACATGAGTATCCCTAGCTTAGTGACAGAAACAACATTCTTGCTAGTTTTACCGCGCTAAATGTATTTACTGCATGATTTAACCCGGCAGGCGGTGGGCCTACCAGCCACCTTCCGCGCGGTGGGGGGGGGGCACTTTTTTGCCCCCCCCCGTATCTCCGAAACTACTGGGCGGATCCGGAAAATTCAAACGGCGTTCGATAGCCCTGTCAAATTTGTCGAGGGAATCTAAATTTCATTGGCCTCGGGGTCACTGATGACGTCACAGGTCAGGTCAAAGATAAAATGTTTCACCGTTCACGGGGCTTCTAGGGAAAGCGCTATAACACCGAGTAAAACGCATTTTGTCGAAAATCAGCGATAAGGCGTCAGTTGTCTAGTACATATGTTGCTATTAGAGATCACTGGTCATATCAGGTCAGGTCACAGGTCAGGTCACCAAAGGTCACCAAGGGTGGAAATGAACATGAGCCCAACTTTACTAAGGTTATGCGATGCATGTTTTATGGCCAGTTTTTCATTTCCAACTCAATGGTGTTGGTTATAAGACCATCAGGTACGGTTTAGGTCACTTTCTGGTGGAGGTCAGGTCAAGGTCAGGTAAAAAAGGTCAAATTTCAAAGTTGATATTTTTGCATAAAATGGGTATCGATTTGATGTAGCTCGTCACGGGGAGTCTAATGGTGGTCTTTGTTTTGCGCTACGATGTCTAGAATTGCTAAAAATTGAGTTTGAAAATTTGACGTCATCAATTTTGAACAGTTTTTTCGCTATAACTTGGCCAAAAAAAGAGGTATCGATCTCAAATTTGGTATGTAGATAGAAGGCGGTAGGGGCTATCACATATATTCCGTTTTTTCGAAATTCAAAAAACTTTTTAGATTTTTTGGCTATTATATTCAAAAAATCTATTTTTTGATTTTTTGGGGTCAATATCCAAAAAATTCGAAAAACCGAAAAGGCAGTTTTGTAGCCATCTTGATTCCACACCTTTTATGTCATAAACATTTTTCTGTATCTCTAAAGCTGTAGGCCTGACAGCTCTTCCCGCGAAACCTTTTTTTTGGGTCGAAAATGGCAAAAATGACGTCACTCTGACGTCATTAGCGGCCAACCTATCATAGCCTTTGGAAAAATTTTTGGTCACCATGTGCGCTAGCTGCTCCCGGGAGGGTACTGAAAGTTTGGTGACGATCGGCGCAGCGGTTCTCGAGATATATCGAAAAAACTAAAGGGGGGCAAAAAATGCCCCCCCCCCCACCGCCTGGAAGGTTAACGTTGATAATGCCAAAAACTAACTTACCATATACTCGTATTATGGCGTTATACTCAATAGCCATAATGCATTTCTGCGATGAGTGCTTTTCAACAATGTACCTACTGTGGTTGCAAAACAGCCAGCTAGCATGTTTTAGTTGACCTACAATACAACGGTATATGTACACAACCAGGGCCACGGTTATCAGAAATTCATGATTAAATTTACCCTGTTCTGAATTTGAATTTCTGAACTTCGTTCATTGACGACAGAAAGAGTCAGTGGGAACAACATGTGTCTCTTTTATCAGTCGTTCAATGTTAGTACAGGTACCAATATGTATTGGCGTAAAAAGAGCTTGTTCTGCTATGTGCATCATCATCTCTTAGTTCTTTCTCCACTCGCCAAATGGGCCATGGCTCATGGGTCGACATAGAGCCCCTCCACTCTCCTGTCCAATCCCCTAGGCCCGGCAGGCACATGCATCCACTGGCAATGGATATCTATACTTAGGGGTTAACATGCCGACTGCCGATAACTGGATAGCAGATTTACTCTAAACGCACATCAACTCCAGTTTCATGCCTCATTTTCCCGTTTGATAAAGTAAATTCACTTTTAATCTAAAATACTTAAGCGTCTTTAATATTCATTGTAAAACGCATGTTTTTATTCAAATCATCTGGTAGTGCAAATTACCAACTTGCCATGAAAAACGAGTCATAGAGACAAAAAAGTGAGACAAAATATGAATTCCTCGCGCATGGTCTGTCTTGCACTCAGCACTCGGCACTCATCGTAATATGTATGTCAATACTACGGTGAGCTGGGGTATATGTATGCATGTAATCAGACAACTAGCTGTAGAGGGGATGACAATCTTTAATCACATTGTAACTCATCGCATATAAAGGCGGAAATTCCTCGTAAATAGCCATATTCCACCAGAAACCATTCTGATTTTAACATGGAACGACCACCTGCTCCTGCAGTGCTCAAGAAGGCCTTCGATGGCTTCGACCACGAGAAGAAGGGCGCCATCAACTGTGACGTGGTGGCCACCATCCTGAGAATGATGGGCCAGGCCTACAACGCCCAGACACTCAAGGAGCTTATCGAGGAGGTGGACGCAGACGGTGAGTCGTGTCCTCCGCGCCCCGACCGCCCCTCCCCCCTCCTCGTGAAGGCCGGCGCGGCGCCAGCCCGCCAGCTGCACAGCCCAACTCAGAGCGCTGCGGCACGGCCTGACTCAGAGCGCTGCGGCACAGCCTAACTTCAGGCGTTTCACACTAGCGACATCTATGAGCGGGAACGGTGGTGGGACACGCGGCATAACGCGGCTCCACTCTCGCCTCAGACTCAATGTATAGGTACTGAGATCATTCAGGGATCAATGCGTATGGTCATGCATTATTAGTGCCTTCGGGAGGTAGCCACGTGATCCGGCAATTTGGTAACAGAAAGTCTCCATATAACCGCCGTCTTCTGCGACATAACTTCAGTCAGTGGTGCCAACTCCTCTTCCCTACTTATAGGATTCGATCACTGAGATGAGGCCCAGGTGCCGGTCACCGCCGGTATATCATAAATCTGCCGTGAGACCACATTGACTAGATTTCAATTTTCAATAGATCATAGTGTAAAAGACTCTAAAATACATAGAGCAGGATGAAGTGCTCGGATGGATCTGCAGCCGTGACCGATATGATTATTTTAACGTACCACATCGCTCCGACTCTGAGCGGTAGAAGTTTGCACCAGCCTCGCTGGTTCGTTTTGCGTGTTCTCTGTTCCTCCGTCTCTGCTCCCTATAGCAGCGGACGGACTCAGACGGGTGACAGTCTTCCCCCGGACTCAGCTGAGTGACAGCCCCTCCCCCCCCCGACACAGACTGGTGACAGCTCCCCCCCCGACACAGGCGGGTGACAGCCCCCTGACTCAGACGAGTGACAGGCCCCCCTTCCGGACTCAGCTGAGTCATGAGTGACAGCCCCCCGGACTCGCTGAGTGACAGCCCTGCCCCGTTCGACAGGCTCCGGGATGCTGGAGTTTGAGGAGTTCGTCACTCTCGCCGCCAAGTTCATCATCGATGACGACGCCGAGGCTATGGCCAAGGAGCTGAAGGAGGCCTTCCGGCTGTACGACAAGGCCGGTCAGTTACACGACACGGCGCACCGGCAGTGCCGTCCGCCTCTGTTATTACGCGGCCCGTCACTGGGGTGGGGCCCACCTCCGTTACATGGGTCGTATAGGCGACCGGGCCGGCCAGCGAAGTCCGTCTCTATAAACCACCGACCTCCAATAGTATACCTCCGTTATATACGAGAAGGCCGGTCAGTGGGGTGTGGGGTGTGCCTCTGCTAAGTCGTACAGCGCAACGCATCGTCTACGTTTGCTTCTGTTATATGTGCAGAGAGCGGCTGTACGGTGGCCGAGATCAGGCTTACCATAAATTGCATCATACTAACGCTAGAAACGGGAGTTCTATTCGGGAGCCTGGAAAAAATTATTTCTGCTAGTACACACCCCAACAGGCCTGGTTGCATCCATACTCGTTGCACTAGTTATATTGTAAATGCGATCACCGTCTCAGTTTTCCGGACAATAGTCTCAAACCCGCTATTATCGCTTTTCCGCACATTCTCAAAAGAAGAATGGTGGCCAGCTATACATACAGATGAAAATTACATTGCTCCCCGATTGCGATAAGTCTCTGAAAATTCTTAAAGTCCCGCAGGGTCCAGGAGCATGCGTTTTGGAATTTAGGATGTATCTTATGCTATTTATCCAGCGATATGACTAGCTAGATTCTAGTTGGATATGCTGATTGCTGAATACACTAATGGAGTCTTTAAGAAAACTAACTTGACATGCATACTTTCATACAAATTGCACGACCTTCCAGCCAGTAATCAGCACTTTTATTTTGAGCCAAGAATCCGTTTACAATGTCGTCATTTTGAGTCCGGGTGAGAGCCTGGATGATTCTGATCCCCCTCCGCTGTCTGACAGGCAAGGGCTACATTCCCACCTCGTCGCTGAAGGACATTCTGAAGGAGCTGGACGAGACGCTCAGCGCCGAAGACCTGGATAACATCATCGGCGAGATTGACACGGACGGCTCCGGCACAGTCGACTTCGACGGTGAGGCACGCCACACGATCCGTCAACACATGGCGTCCCAGATCGTCTCATAGCGCCTCATAGTGCATCAGATCGTCCCATATCGCTCCATATCGCCCCATAACGTCCCATAGCGTCCAATTATATCGTCCAGTATCGCCCACAGCGCCCCACTGCGCCCCAGATCGCCGCATAGCGTCCCATGGTGCCTCATATTGCCCGATATCGCTCCATCTCCCCATATATCAATAATCAATCAGAATCGAGAGAAGAAGAAGACCCAACAGATATTAATTAAACGTTTCCACACTAGCATGGCAGCAAAGACGATACGTGTGCTAAAAATTAGAGCTTTAGCCTTTAAGTGTACACGACTAAACGGATGGTTACTCGAAGGCAAATATAATTGCTCGAAATGAAAGGTCAGCCGTTGATGCCGTAGATACTCGTGGGTTTTTATAACAATACCTCAACTACACGAGGTATGGGAACTAACCGAACAAAATGCATAACGGACTGTCTTCCGGAACCTCAGTAAAATCGTGTACCGTTGTATGCTACATCACTGAATGTCTAAACTGATTTCGACAGAGTTCATGGAAATGATGACGGGCTAGACGGACATCTCCATGTCCGTCGGGAGGGGTCTTCTGTTACCAACACCGGGAGAGCCGGTGCCGCGAACCGCCCGGCCTGCGACCCTTCCACGAGACATCACGGCCAGAGCTCTGCTCGCCTCAGCTTCGCTGCCGCACAAGTTTCTCCGAAATCGATCGTAAATCATTGTACCTATGTCTTAAGCATATGATAATGATGCTACTTATGCAGATGACTACATTTTTGGAATAAAAAGGATGTTCCGGGTGAGGCGTTATTGGTGTGATGGACTCAGGGTCACCATGCAAGGAACATAGAGACGTGCAAGTGGGAAGGAGAGTGGGGCTTCAAATGTAGCAGAACACGAAGACGATGACTCACACGACACTACATACGAGTACGTACATACTACACACTCTAGCGTGCTATCTCACCGGCGTAGTATGAATGATACCAGCCACCAATCATCCAGCTGAAACTTCCTCGGTAGGCGTCTTTGTATATGCCGAATAAGGAGGAACTTCGTACGCGCAAACAATCTGATTTTTCTAGGATATGTTTAACTGTGTCGCGATCTATAATTATCCACGACCACGCAAGGAACTGGAGATGTCACAGCTCAAGACGACGCGGTGACCAGCGCAACTGCACAATGCACATACGAGTAAAGCAGTGCTAATTTCCGTGGGTCATTGCAGACTGATGTGCAACTGGAACTCGAGTTGCATACCCCGCGCGCAGCTCTAAGCCAGCTCAAACTGCGCCATGACTATCACCAGGGTGATGATGTCCTTCATGCTCTGGACGAAGAATGTGTTGTCCAGTGTGAAGTAGCCGGCCAGGTCGGCGGCGGCCTGCTGTCCCTCCAGCAGGTGCAGCAGCTCGGCTAGGTGCCACTCGGCGGCCGGCAGGCGGCGCCGCAGCAGCCCGGCCGCCCGGCGCGTCTGCCGTCCCACACCGTCCCCGGCGGCGGCGGCCAGCCGCAGCAGCACCAGCGGCAGCGGCGTCAGCACGTTCTTCAGCAGCAGCGCCGGCAGCGCGCTGCCGCCGCCGGCCGGCGCCGAGAGCGCCCGCAGGTTCAGGTACACCGTCAGAGCCACGTCCAGCTGCAGCATGCACAGGTAGAACGCCACGAAACCGCCGAACGTCTCCGACAGCAGCTCCACCAGCCGGCAGAGCTGGCCGTGCTGGAGCACCAGGTGACACAGGCGCGGAGCGGCCGCGCTGCTGACCGCCTCCCCCGGGCGCCCGTCCAGCGCCTCCTGCAGACGTCCGTCCAGCGCGGCGAGCGCCTCCTGCACGCACCGGCAGCAGCCGATGAAGATGACCAGCCAGAAGATGACACCGCCGTAGACGCAGAGCAGTGGGATCAGTGAGAGCAGCTGCCGCCAGGTCGGCACCTCTGCCGCGTGAACGAAAATCATCACCACATAGAAAGCCTCAATGACCAGAATGCTGGTGACGAAACGGCGCACGTAGCGAGCGGACGAGCGCAGGTCGAGAGCTCCGAACACCGCTTCGTGCCGGCGACAGGCGTCAAAGAATGTGATCAGTCGCGGCGGGCGCCGCCACACCCAGAGCACGGTGCCGGCCCAGAGCAGCGGGCCGTGCAGCTGGCGCAGCCGCAGGAACACGCGCGCCGCGCCCGAGGGCCGCCACGCGCCGGCCGGCCGGGCGCGCGCTGCGTCCACCACCAGCAGCGCCAGTGCCGCCGCCGAGATGAGCGCGCTGCGCAGCGCCGCCAGCGAGCACCACCAGCGGCCGGCGGGCGCCGCGCCGGGCCGGAACGGCAGCAGTCCCAGGCCGGCGGCCACCAGCAGCGCCGGCCGCAGAGCGCGCGTCACGGAGCCCGGCCCGGCCTCCGCTGTGGACAGGGCGCGCGTCACAGAGCCCGGCCCGGCCTCCGCTGCCGACAGCCAAACGGTCACACTTAGAGCGATCACGAATATTTTGTATATGAAAAGTAATAAAAGTGATAAAGTAGCAAAAAACGAATAAATTAATATGATACCGATAATTTGATGATTGACTGGTAAATTTTATATGCACGAAAGTACATAATGCTCTCAGTCAGGCATGCCTAGAAAATAATGCCAACAAGAAACACTTGCGAAAGAGCATGATCGTCAAAAATGTTGTTTAGGGGTAACAGATGACCACTAACTGCTGCGTCCCGATCGCATCACGAGCTCACCTTGCGGCACGTGCGGAGCGGCCATGCTCGGCCTGACCTGTTCAGACCGGACTGGGGCCGGCGGCAGCGGTCCGACCCACCTCTGTTGTGCAGAGGCCAGCTTCGACCCGTGGACCTCTTCGCAGCCGCTCCAAAGGAGCAGCGCTCCCAGCCGGCATCACACGGAGTGGATTGAGCAAACAGGGCGGCATTCTTCACTCCTGCAGTCTCCCGACATCGGCGAGGAAGCCGTCTTTGAAATACAATCGTTATGTTTACCTGGAGAATTGCCGCCGTGGCACAGGTTCGATACACCTGTTTAATGACAAATAAGAGCACTTTACCGGTTTATTGACCTGACCTTGGACTTGAAGCTAGTGACATATTGCCGGCTGCGGCGCCGCAGCTGAGAGAGCACACAGCGGTGTCAGGTGTGGCTCACTATGTACGTACATAGGCGACGGTCGGCGACGGTCGGCGACTTTTCCAGGCTCTGATCCATCCTCGTACGCAGTAAAATTGAATCGAGCGCGGCTCTGGTGTCACTGGATGTTTAAAATAAATCGCATTCATAATGTCAATGAAATTGTCATATTGCCTCTTGTACGGTGGATGCCTTCACCTGCATGTCGTGCCGAAATGCGCAGTACATAATTACATTGCAACCAGCTGGTATAGGCGTCCAAACTCGACGCCTGGCGGCATGCTGTGCCGCACGACTCGCCGACTAGGTTTCAGCTCGCGCCGCTAGATGTCACTGCGACTGCGCCTGGAGCGGTAGGCTGCGCCGGCAGACACTCGCGCTACCAGATGCGTGTGAACTGAGTATACGCCTGGAGCGGTAGGCTGTACCGGCGGACAGTGGCGCCGCCCGATCTCTCCGCAATCAGACCGGACTATGGGGGCGGCTCGGTGCCTTCACTCATCACTGCCTCCTAGTCCTATCCTGCTGCCCACGGGTGGCCAAATCAGGGCCGGGTGCCATAACGTCAGCACCGCACCGTCAGTACTCAGCAGCAGTCCTACTAATCGCTGAGGACCGTTCAAGTGTTCAGTGTGTCACTAGTCAAAAGTCAGTCCCCCCCCCCCCCCCAGCCTCCTAATCGGCTGATTAGTAAAACGACAAAACACGACACAGCGGTTTGGCAATTTTAATATATGTTGGCTGCGCTGCTCCACACTATCCTGATTCGCGCCATCACCCCGCGGTGCGGCGTTCAGAGGTCGATAGTCGCCACGTGCCCGTACCGTGGTGTGCCGCACAATTGCCAGGTGTCCGCCGCGAGATGTGCCGCACAGTCGACATGTGCCCGTACCGTGGTGTGCCGCACAGTCGCCAGACCGCAGTCTATGTTTATTGAACGGGGTCGTAAGGCGAATACACAGTACACAAGCTACCAGCTCAGATCATTAGGCAACTGTAAGGCCAAACATACGATCCGCTCTGCTCGCTAACCGTGCTCAGATCGCTCTACATCTGCCATCAGTCCTACGCAGGATAACGGTCCTACCCCTAACTACTCTACTTGTACTTTGGTAGTTATTGGAATAAACGCACTGACTTATTGAGCAAAAGGCCTGGCAAGAGGCCATTCATGGACAACGTTGCCGAAGGCAGACGTGACATCTTATAGTCACCGGCCGGCCAGCTAGCTACGGAATACGTGATCCATGCGTACGAGGTGGGCGCAGAGGCGCTCCCGTGTCTGACGGTAGACAGGAGAGGGGTATGGCCGCAGTGAGGGCGGCCGGGGCTCGCCGGGTCGCAGACACGCTCCGCACAGAGGGGGAGCCGTCACCACCAGCGCACCGAGCATACGACACCTGCTCCCGGCTGGGGTGATCTCCTTTTGCGCAGAGAAGGCTCGGAAAAAGGTCTAGTAAAGGTTTGATTGAAATGGTGACCTTATCGAACATGGTTCAGTGAAACTTAACTGACTGACAGCAGATGATAGGCCTGGTGCAATAGAGCACCAGCGCTATGACGCCTCAGGCGATTGCTCCAAAAGTAGGTGAGTGGATAAATACGCAGACGATTCGCCACAAAAAAATGAGTGCTATCCATGACTCTTCAACAGCCAACAATCTTGACGCCTCACATAAATCACTGCTGGGGATAAAACCTTCCAATAAAACAACAATAATACAGGTTTCGGGAGTAATCTCATCGGGAGATAAAACGATCACGGCGTGTGTAACAACGAAAGACTCTACTGACGCATCGTACAATAGCTCGAATTCATCCATGCAACTGTCCGGACCATCAGCCATCCTCGTCCTCTTTGGCGATTAGCTGCGGGAAGCACTTGGGGATGAGAAAGTCCTCGAGCGACTTGAGGAGGTGAGACTTGACGGAGCGAAAGTAGACGTCCTCGTCCGAGTATACCTGCACCAACAAACGCCGCGGGTCAGTGAGTCGGTCGAATGCGGCACTAGTCATAATCGAGTAATGTAGTTACGCGTTACGATAAAGACACCGCGTGGAATGTCCACTGTGGAGGGTGAAAGCGACACCCGGTGATTGGGACACAGTGAGGTAGATTTGCAGATCCCCCATTCGCCACGGCCAGAACGCCGTGTCCAAATGCTGCCTGCTGGACTCGCCTGCTGCTAGTGCAACACGGACTCGCCTGCTGCTGGTGTTATTGGGACTCGCCTGCTACTAGTGTCTAAACTGGGACTCGCCTGCTACCAGTGCGACTGGGACTCGCCTGCTACTAGTATTACTGGGACTCGCCTGCTACTAGTGCTGCTGGGACTCGCCTGCTACCAGTGTGGTTGGGAATCGCCTGCTGCTAGTGCGACTGAGACTCGCCTGCTGGTAGAAGAGCACGCCGAGCTCGACCAGTCTCCGGGAGAGCAGCTCGCCGTGCACAAAGAGCGGGTCGGCCGTGCCGTACACCAGGAACAGTGCGTGGTCGCGTAGGCGCTCCACGGCGTCCAGGATGTTGGTCGAATCGCCGTACCGCTCTGCGTGGTACGCGTCTGCCGGAGCCGCCACACGGCCCAGTGATAACGCCAGCTCACAGCTCATGGACACGGGAAACGGCTGCAGGAGCCGCCGCACGGCCCAGTGATAACGCCAGCTCATAGCTCATGGACACGGGAAACGGCTGCCGCTACCGGCGGTTAATGCTGTATCTACTGGATATACCAAATACACACCTACATATTTTGCATTTTCATATTTTGTTCCAGCTAATACGGTAATACCAGCTCATCAGGAGGTTGCAACGATTCAACGAATTAAATCGACATGCACATTCCATCATGATATACACAGTAAAGTGTTGTTCCGAACTGCCTCTTTTTCGCAAAAAAAAATTATTAGTGCGGCATCAGGCTGACAACACACGTGACTGGACTCAAGATTACTTTATTACGACTGGACTGACCGTAGAGCTGTAGTTCGACGACCGGCCAGATGGCGGCGCCACAGTCGACCCGCGGACTGTCGGCCATGGCCACCAGGGCCGTGTGGCCTCCGAATCCGGTGCCGAGGACGGCGGTCCGAGCCGGGTCTAGGAACGGGTACTGCTCCAGCAGGTGGCTGCCGACACGCCACACACACAGGCTGTGGTTACAGCGGACCGAATGGCTGGGAAGGGGAGACATTTCAGATCCGGGAGCCCATACAAGAAGCCCCGCCGGTAACTGATCCAAATCCATCATGATTGGGTGTGTTGTTTCCATTGATTGCAATAAAGATAAGCATACCTGAAGATGTGCTCAGTTCTCTTTTGATTATCGAAGAAGCTTCTGCGGGCCAGTTGCGCGGTGCACTTAATTCTCACAAACACCAGGTCCCACTTGCTAACCATCAGTGTGGCGAACTGCAGACTCCAGTCCAACTCCAGCACATCGTCCTGGCTGAAATATCAGAAAACATCTCAATTCCGAATCCCGTATACATATAAACTTATATATAAACTGATTAAACGTCACTAAATAATGAATAACACAGCTTTTACCTTCGATTGATTCATCACGATATTCTGCAACAAATGTTAAATTATTCGAAAGTGGTATAAATATACGAGAAAAAAAAAAAGAAATGTGAACCTGATACAAATCGGGATGATCAAAATGAAAGGTAGCTAAGTGTGACGTTAATGACAAGTGCAATTTTGAGTGTTCTGCCATCTGCCGGGTTTCTACACCACAAAACTATCAGTGCCCCTCCTTTTGTGTCACTGCATCCATTTCAGTACCAGGGGAGCGCGCTGTGCGCCGCCCCTACTCACATGTCCAGCACGAACGGGAACAGGTAGCTGCCGCCCTTCTTCTCGTCCCACAGCTTGGGCATCATCACCTCCAGCAGCACGGTCTCGGCGCCGAGGGTCACCCTCTCTGTGATCAGCTGGGGCGCGGCCAGGCCCCGGGTCCGCTCGGCCAGCTCCTCGCCGGGGTCCAGGACGGCCAGCGCGCGGCTCAGAGGCCGGTCGACCAGCAGCAGGCTGCGCCCCGGGCCGCGCGAGCACTCCAGCGCCACCGCCGCGCCGCCGTCACCGGCCGGCGGGAAGACGGCGCGCACGGTGTGGCAGTGCCTCCCCGCCAGCGCCTCGCCGCCGCAGCTGAGACAGGCGGCCGCCGCCGGCCGGGCCGCGCCTGAGTCCGGCCGCCGGTACAGGTGACTCTCCGACCGGCCGGCCGAATTACTCACTCCAGTGTAGTAGCTGAGGAAATAAAAACACATTGTAGCTTTGGGTGTGGAAAGATATATCAAGAGAAAAAGATACGATTAAGGATGGGATAATGTCAATTATTGACCAGACGTCGAAAGTCACACGCTATTATATTACATAGAAAGGCCCTTCAGCCAGAATTTTACACAAGAAAGTCACTTAGGTCTCCGGCTGACGCCAGCAGTCGGTATCTCTGGACTTTGTATGTCTGTGTGCCGGTATGTCTGTGTGTCTGTATGTATGTGTGTCTGTGTGTCTGTGTCTGTGTCTGTATGTTGTGTGTCTGTAGTTATGTGTGCCGGTATGTCCGTGTGTCTGTATGTCCGTGTGTTTTATATCTGTGTGTCGGTGTGTCTGTGTGCCTGTGTGTGTCTGTGTGTCTGTGTGTCTGTCTCTGTGTCTCTGTGTCTCTGTGTGTCTGTGTATGTGTGTGTCTGTGTGTCTGTCTCTCTGTGTGTGTGTGTGTGTGTATATGTGTGTCTGTGTCTATGTGTCTGTGTCTGTGTCTCTGTGTCTCTGTGTGTCTGTGTCTGTTTGTGTCTGTGTGTCTGTGTTAGAGATGTCATTCGGATACCAACCTTTTGGTATACCGATACCAAACCGATACCAACTTGGTATTTGGTATTTCAAGGCGACTGGATTTGGTATTTTGTTGTTATGATGAATCCTCGCTAATGTAAAAGAGGCTGAGTATTTGGTAAAAAGTTAGTATTTTCCTCATATTCCCAAGTCGTTTTGGTTTCGGTATTTTTTCATGGATATTGTTGGTATTTGGTTTGGTATCGGTAGGTATCTCGATTTTCCGTAATTGACATCACTAGTCTGTGTGTCTGTGTGTGCCTGTGTATCTGTGTGTTTGTGTGTCTGTCTCTGTTTGTATGTGTATATGTGTGTCTGTGTCTATGTGTCTGTGTCTATGTGTCTGTGTCTATGTGTCTGTGTCTATGTGTCTGTGTCTATGTGTCTGTGTCTATGTGTCTGTGTCTATGTGTCTGTGTCTATGTGTCTGTGTCTATGTGTCTGTGTCTATGTCTATGTGTATGTGTCTATGTGTCTGTGTCTATGTGTCTGTGTCTATGTGTCTGTGTCTATGTGTCTGTGTCTATGTGTCTGTGTCTATGTGTCTGTGTCTATGTGTCTGTGTCTATGTGTCTGTGTTTATGTGTCTGTGTCTGTGCCTGTGCCTGTGTCTGTGTGTATGTGTCTGTATCTGTGTGTCTGTATCTGTGTGTCTGTATGTCCGTGTGTCTGTATGTCCGTGTGTCTGTATGTCTGTGCGTTTGTGTGTCTGTGTGTCTGTGTGTGCCGGGCGGCGCGCCTCACATCCAGTGGCGGTCGCTGTCCCAGTACAGCAGCTGGCTGACGCGGTGTGTCTGTGTGTCTGTATGTTTGTGTGTGTCTGTGTGTGCCGGGCGGCGCGCCTCACATCCAGTGGCGGTCGCTGTCCCAGTACAGCAGCTGGCTGACGCGGTGTGTCTGTATGTTTGTGTGTATCTGTGTGTGCCGGGCGGCGCGCCTCACATCCAGTGGCGGTCGCTGTCCCAGTACAGCAGCTCGCTGATGCGGTGTGTCTGTGTGTCTGTGTGTCCCACTCCCAGTGCTGTGTGTGCCGTTATGTCTATGTGTCTGTGTGTGTGTCTGTGTGTGTGTGTGTCTGAAGGTCTCTGTATGTCTGTGTCTGTGTGCCGGGCGGCGCGCCTCACATCCAGTGGCGGTCGCTGTCCCAGTACAGCAGCTGGCTGACGCGGTGTGTCCCGGTGCTGTGCCGCACCCGGCCGCCGGCGGGCGCCACCTCCAGCAGCTCGGTGCCGGTCGCGGCCCCGTCTTCCAGTTGTACGACGAACCGGGACCGGTCAGCGGCGAACAGGGGATGCAGCTCGCTGACCCGGCGGCCGGCGCCGGCAGCGTACGCCTGCAGCTCAGTGGACACGGTCAGCGGGGCAGGAGGGTCAGCGGGGGCAGGAGGGAGGGTCAGCGGAAGCAGGAGGACGGTCAGCGGGGCAGGAGGGAGTCAGCGGGACAGGAGGGGTGTCAGCGGGGTCAGCGGGGGCAGGAGGAGGGCCAGCGGGACAGGAGGGTCAGCGGGGCAGGAGAGGGGTCAGCAGGACAGGAGGGAGAGTCAGCGGGATAGGAGGGCCAGCGGGGGCAGGAGGGAGGGGGTGGAGTCAGTGGGACAGGAGGGAGGGTCAAATGGAATCATCTTCACGAAAGATGTGACAGATGTATTTTACCTTGCAGGGCACTTATAATGCCAGTAAACTATTGATGACTCATGATAACAAATTCAAATTGGTACGAGATACTAAAAGATAAACTTACGAGTAATTTTATTGCGTTTAAGCAGTCTCCACAAAGGTCATTGTTGATTGAGCGCTGATTTTCCTTTGGAGTCGTGTTTGTTCGTTACCTCTGTGCAGTTCCAGCCGGGAGCGGTACAGAGCCACACCCGACCCAAGGTCAGGTCACGAGAGGTGGTTGACACGGAGACCATACGGTCCCCGACCCAGCGCGCCTCCGTCAGGTAAAAACTGCCGCAGAACAGTCACAGTCACACTCACAGTCACAGTCACAGTCATACTCACAGTCACATTCCTACACACTTACACAGGGATCATACGATCCCCGACCCACTACCCAGCGCGCCTCCGTCAGGTAAAAACTGTGGCAGAGTCACAGTCACACTCACAGTCACAGTCACAGTCACAGTCAGAGTTGCAGTCACACACAGAGACCATACGGTCCCCGACCCAGCGCGCCTCCGTCAGGTAAAAACTGCGGCAGAGTCACAGTCACACTCACAGTCACAGTCATACTCACAGTCACACACGGACACCAATATACGGTCCCCGACCTAGCGCGCCTCCGTCAGGTAAAAACTGCTGCAGAGTCACGGTCACACTCACAGTCACAGTCACAGTCACAGTCACACTCACAGTCACAGTCACACTCACAGTCACATTCCACACAGACACAGTCACAGGTAAAAGTTAAAACGTGCGGCGGTGGCACAACGGACAACCAAGCACAAAGACGCTGTCAGTGCAGGTAGCGCCACAAGCAATACAACATGGAGGGCAGTCGGGCTCGGCAAAAGTGGTTACGACCGCTCTGGCTTATTTTCAGGACAACCATGATTCATATGTGTTCACGAAATGTAGGTATCAATGAAGCTAGCTTCACCAAATAATAGCCGTTTTCACGACGGCTATCTTGGTACACATTTGGTGCACATCTGGTACAGATTAGGTGCAGATTTGGTCAAATCAGGTTCAGTGTGTGTCTCTTAGCAGCTATCAGTTAGGGTTGCACTAATTGCTTATATGCCTGCTTTGTCATATTATCAGAGAGCCTCATCGAATAAAACACTGAAATAAATTCATAAAATGACGATATTTGCTGTAAAAGAAATTATATACGAGTAGGTGCAGATTTGGTCAAATCAGGTGCATTTGCCGGATAGCCCGTCGTGAAAACGGCTAATATGCAGTGGTAGCCTTTATAGCCTTTATCATTGTTGAATCTCAGTAGTGGGTAAAGGCGTTCGTGGAAATGCTGTCTGCTGCGCCGAATGAGTATGGTTTACCTTTGCCTGGAATCCTTGCCCAGCTTCAGCTGTGTTATGCTTGGTTTACTGGTACTGACTGTAGTATCCACATCACATATACTGATGGATATTTCAGTCATCGCTCCACTCCACTGTAAAACACACAGAACACGGATCAGGTATGTTGCTTGTGTGAATCGGTACCGCTAGCAAACACATGTAAATCTGCTCTACATTGACTGATATACAAGCATAGGAATTCCATTGAAGGTAGGTACGGTGCGGAGTGCGGATGGCATACCTATGAAGACAAACTCAGGATATTCAGATTTTTTTCCGTATATCCTGCTCTGTAAAACTCATTGCAAGCAGTTTCTATTGAACATTATTTAATTTTCTCCCCCAGCAAAAACAAAGGGAAATTTCCATTAGCATCGCATCCCGCGGAAGGGACCTACGAGTATAAATAATAAATATCCGTTTGGGTCCAAAAGTAGTGCACATTCCACTTTCAGGGCATCTGTCAGCCGATTACATGTTTCCTTTCCCTCCATTTTGTTACAATTCGTATCGGATTTCGTCTTCGATATTACGATAGGGTGTCAGCAAACAATTCAGAGGACAGACACCTACAGGACAATTGGACGGACGTTTAGAGGACAGTCGACACTAGCTCAGAGGACAGCTGCTCAGATAAAGTCGGACAGTGGCTCAGAAGATAGTCGCTCAGAGGACAGTCACTCAGTCACTCAGGCCTCAGAGGACAGTCGGACAGTCGGACAGAGGACAGTCGCTGACCTTTGGATAGGGCATCCTGCGCCGGACGATCGCGCCTCCCCTGGGGTAGGTCAGTGTCTCCACCACGTCCAGAGACGAGTCGTTGAACGTGACGAACATCAGGTGGCCGCCCGACGGCGAGAACCACATCGCCTGAGCGCTGCCGAAACGGTTCTCTGCGAAAGATGCACAAGTATGCAGAAAAGGGATGGGCATACAAATTGAACGTTTATTTAAGAAAAGTCACTCAAAACTGGCGCGATATTGGTCGAACGAATAAACAGAGTGTATAATTTGATCTTGCCGGCACTGGATATCTCGTTTACGTCGATGATAAAGGGAATTTTTCTGAACATTCGCAGACGTAGACACTAGACACCCCTCGCCTCCAAATCGGGGACTCTCTCTCTCTCTCGCTCTCTCCCTCTCACTCGCCGCTCGCGCTGACTGACCTCTGTACCACCAGTTGGCCACTCCGTTCAGCACGGTCCGGTCGTCCGTTCCGGTGCGGGTCAGCCGGACGGCGGCCGTGGTGCCGGTGGCCGACGGCAGCAGGAGCACGTCGCCGCCGCGCACCACGGCCAGCGGGTAGCCGCCGGGCGCCGGCCGGGCCCGCGGCGAGAACAGGGCCAGCTGCAGGTGCGGCTCCTCGGCGGCGTCCGCGGACAGGTGCACCGGGTACTGGTGACTGCCGGCCGCCGAGACACAGCGAGCGGGCGGGCGCGTCACAGAACGGCTGCTCTCGCCTCTCTCTCTCGCGGACTCCCGACTCCGACAACGTTCACATGCCTTTGCTTGCATATCAGAAAATGATATGATATGTATATCAATATTGGACACTGATATTTACAAATATTAAGGAAAATTCATATACATACCAATTACCAATTGTGTGAGGTGTTCCCTCGTATCCATTATCCGGTACAACATAGACAATCATTTTGAGAAAAAAAAAACATGCCACACAACTCCAATTTACACTTATAATCAGCTTAACGTTATTTAACAGCTCACTCGGAAGCATATTACTCGAGCCCCTGCAGAGCCCTGCAGGACTGGGGTCAAGCTCGATACTTTTATAGGGCCAGACGGCTGGGAATGCCGACGAAGTCCACTTAGGTATCATTGATGGCGTTATCTCGACTTAAATAATAAATAATTCGGAACTTTATATTGTAATTTGTAGATAATGTGAGCTGGAGCAGGTAGTGAATGTGCATTGTGCATTAGCATCGGGATTGGTAAAATTCGTTTGCAATGTGCAGCATTTATTTGCTGATGAAGTTTTGGTAGTTGATGAACACGTTTCTCACACGGTCATTGGCATCATTGGCACTGAAACAAGTAACAACGATATCATAGGCAATGAGCGCAATTAAACGGTGACAGTTTGCGATTGTAGCGCACACTGTATACAGATGACAATTAATGCGAGGGCAATCATACATCGCGCCACGGGTACAGTTGTAAGAGATGCAGGAATGCAACAGGACGCGCAATGACGCGGCCTAAGTCAGCATTGGACAAGTATTTGTCATAATGCTGACATCACCGTTCCTTTAGACTGTCGACTAGCCAGAGCGACTAGCCTATAAGTGATATAACGTGCTCAGGTACAATCACATTTTGGCCACCCGATGTTGTTACTTTGACTTTTGAGGCTTATCTTGGGCTGTCCTCTCGAAAGAGTTCCGGCTATTTCACCTCGATTCGCTGGGGGAGTGGCAATGAGCTAGGTGTACGCCAGTCGGCTGGCCTCAGCTGATCCGTTTTACTGAGAAATCGAGAACACACATTATCAATTTCTAATAAATGCTCGTTGTCCAGTTGCGCCACTTCACTTGATGATGCGTTTTGATGATAAATCAGCCAATGCTAATCTGTCACATGGCAGAGTTGACGAAGCAAGTGACGAATTGATATTATGCCAACCGCTGATGCTCAGAAATAGGTCAGCTGGAATAACTCTCAAGCTGTGATAATCTGGGCGGCCTCACTGTCGACCGTATCCGTGCTGGCGCCGCTGCCAGCCGGCCGCCCGGTGACGCCGTCCGACCCAGCCGGCCGATCGGTGACGCTGCCTGGGCCGTCCGCCTTCCCGGCGCTGCCGCCCGACCCTGCCGGCCGTCCGGCGCCGCTGCCGCCCGACCCTGCCGACCGGCCGGCGCCGCTGCCGCCCGACCCTGTCGGCCCGCCGACAGCTCTACCTGGGTCGTCCGCCTGCCGGGCACTGCCCCCCGACCCCGCCGGCCGTCCGGCACTGCCCCCTGACCCTGCCGGCCGTCCGGCACTGCCCCCCGACCCTGCCGGCCCCTGGGCGTGGCCGCCGGCCGACCCCTGGGCGTGGCCGCCGGCCGACCCCTGGGCGTGGCTGTCAGTCGGCCCCTCGGCGTCGCTCGGGCAGAAGTAGGACTGCTCGGCGGCCGAGTCCAGCAGCTCGCCCACGTCGGCCAGCTCGGTCCGGCTGGGCCGCACGGCGCCCGCCGACGCCGCGCGGAACGTGGTGGCGAACAGGCGCTCCCCGATTACCTGGCCACCGCTGCCGACCACCACGATTGCGGGCGGCTCGCTGGAGCGCCGACCCGACCCCTCGCCGGGCGTCAGGTCAGCCTCCTCGTCCGCGCGCTGGCTAGTCTCGTCCAGAGGCTGGCCATCCTCGTCCTCCGCTGGTCGGTGAGCCTCCTCGCTGTCTGGCTGTCCGGCCTCGCCGTCGGCCGGCCAGTCCGGCTCGGCGTGCCTGGCCTTGGCGCCCGGCGGAGCAGTCTTGGTGCGCCGCACGGCCGGCCCGTGGCCCATCTTCACCACGGACGGCAGCTTGGTGTGCGTCTCGTCGTCGGCGGGTGGCGGCGGCGGCCGCTCCGTCTGCCCGGGCGGCGCCGCCGCGGGCCGCGGCGAGCTCGGCGGCGGCTCCCGGCTCGCAGGTGATGCGGCGCGGCGCCGGTGCGGCGCGGCCTTCCGGTCCCACCAGGGGCCGCGGTACACGCCGTTCAGCATCTGCAGCTCGTTGACCAGGCGCGTGCACTGAAAGGTGACGGCCACCAGCGCGGCCACCTCGAGCAGCGCCACCAGGCCGGCCACCACCGCGTGCGAGTACACCCACAGTTGGACGGCGTGCAGGCAGCCCATGGTGTGGATGGCGCGGCTGGCGATGTTGCGGTCCAGCCTCTGCACGCCGCGGCCGCACAGCGCGTTGGTGACGCCCGTCTGGTTTCGGCAGCAGGACCAGGGCACGCCGCACCGCTCCGGGCTCGGGTTGCCGTCCGAGCAGTTGAAGTAGATGTTGCGGGTCCAGTCCTGGAAGCCGTCGTCGCGCAGTCCGCAGCAGTGGAACGTGGTCTGCAGGTAGTCCATCAGCGTCTCGACGTCGCTGCTGCTGCGGTAGTCGACCACCGCCTGTTCGGCCAGCATCCTCTCCAGGAACGGCCGCGAGTAGTCGGCGAACACGAACACGAACACGGCCAGGCCGAGCTTGAGCAGCAGCGCCGCGATCAGCGCTATGTAGAAGACGCGGACCAGCGCGATGTTCTCGCGCAGCACGCCCACCAGGCCGCAGTAGGTGATGACAGACGACACGATGCCGTTACACAGCAGCACCAGCGAGAAATTGAGCCAGAACTCGGAGAAATTGCCGGCCGATATGACTTCTTCTTGATCTTTCCTCTGTATGATTAAATAGGCACCGATGCAAGCAATGACAACACTGAAACACCACAGGATGCAGATGATGGTGAGGAGAATGCTTTTGTTAGTCTTGTTCACGTCCTTCACATCATACGCAAACATAGGGAAGGGGTCGCAGCACATCTTGCTTGGGTCTTTGTACCGCGACGGTGCCCCTTTCTTCTTTTTCTTACCACCACCTTTCTTACTTACTTTGGTCATATTTCTGGTCTTTTCTCTTCCTTGTTAACCAAGCTCCGCACCTAACCAATCGATTTTCAACACAAGGCCAGCCATTTGATTTATCATGGACTTTTATTCATAATAGAGTCATAGGGAATGTTGAAATGATGTCATATTACATTCCGTCGACCTTTGAGTGGCTTGCTTTGTTGCGTTATCCGGCCTACGCCGGTATCTTGTACATTTGTAGCTTGGTGTAAGAGTGCATAATTTCTTGACACGAAACTTTAAAAAGTACTATCCATACACTACTGTAAAAGTGTACGATTAACTGAACTTCTTACACTTATATAGCCATGTCCTTGTAAGTTGGCTTCTTATAAGCCATAATAAGCCTGCATAAGTTGCGCTTGAAGTTGCGCATCAAATGTGTCAACTTTGCGAAAAACAAAACTTAATTAGCAGATTTGTCATCAGCGTGCGTTTGTGGTAGTTTGTCTTCCATTTTTGTAGAACAAAATTACATTTTTGAAGGTACTGAAGGACAGGGTGCTATGTATACATAGACTGTTACAGCGACACGTTCAGCTTTATATTGAACCCAAACGCTATCAAATGGACCATCGCCCTAAAACACCAGGTTCACAAATCTTTTCCACCAGCCATTTACTCTTCAGCATGTTTTTAATCCGTAACATTTCAATTTGGGATAAACCTAATAAATAATTATACGATGCGATAACATTTTTCCTCACGAGTGCATGCATGTCTATAAACGACTCAACTCAGCTTTCAACTCCAAATCAGTTGCTAAGGGTGTCTTTCTTTTATTCAACGAAACAATCAATAATGAACACGTTACCAGCTATACAATCATTTTCGAGTGATTTAAATGAATTTCACAAGCAAAGTTGAGGATCCCAAGCGAAGTTAGTTTTGTATATAGCAATGGGAATAATGAGAGGCCTCAGATCCGTAATAAGAATAGATACTATATAAACCACATGACATCTATCAATATAAATTTTAGTTGAACTGCATGCAACCAATTGCTGTCACCGACTTACCCATTGATGATATCTTGAATGGTGTACTGCGCCTCGGACGAACTCCGGAGACCCTGTGGAGTGTGGAACACGACAGAGTTAAATGTATCGGGAGCTCCGAGAACCCTGTGGAGCATGACAGAGGTATGTCGGGAGCTCGGAGAATCATGCGGAGCATGACAGAGTTATACCGAGAGTCCCGAAGGCCCTGCATGGAGCACGATAGAGTTACAGTTAGGTATGCCGAGAGTTCCGGATGCCCTGTGGAATACGATAGAGTTAGAGTTAGGTATGCCGAGAGTTCCGGAGGCCCTGTGGAACACGACCGTTATAGCAGAGCCCCGAAGACAATGACACGGGACGGGACGGTAATAATACCCCGGATAGGTACTCTGCTGGATCTGATAGGCTGTAGGTATAGACCGGTGTGAGGCCATGGGAAGCTTGAGGACTCTGATAGACGTGAAGTCAGGTGAACAGAGCTAAAGAAAGACCATCAGAGACACTAAGTTTTACGGTGCTGTGCACGGCATTTTGATAGCTGAGTTGATTGGTAACAGGCCTCTGTTATGCTTTACCTAATGAGTTGCACGGGTGTCTTTAGCCAAGATATTTGATTCACATTTCACGTAGCATCCCAACGCACACGGCTAAGCGCACAACCACAACAGGACAATGCTATATATATATCTACGAAACGTATTGACCGATCCTGGCAGTACATTACGTACGTAAAGTATCCTTCTCCGTTCCAGTATATATCTTCCGTCCGATGTAATGAGCGTGTCGATATCTCCGACTGGCACCTGACAAAACAGCGCAGTCAATGGTCAACAGTGACTTGTCAAATTTTCTATTGGTGGCTCTAGAAAGAGGGTCTTAGTTATTCTTCGCTATTGGCAATTTCATTGCTTTTTTGTTGAACGAAAATAATGGCAACACCTATCAAACGAATCGGAAGGTGGCTACAATTATGAAAGACTGGCTGAGTATCGCATGTTACATTCTTATAAAGCTGTATACATTTTCATTACTTTGTGGATGTTTTAATGAATAAATAAGCTATCATTTATTTTGAGTTTTCTTTTCACGTCTTTACCTCTTCCGAAAACCGAAACACTATCCTAGAACTATTTTTCCGAACGTCATATTCTCTGAGATCCCCTTTAGAGTCCTTATAAAACAGCTTGGAGCCTGCAAAATGGAAAAGACCGAGTTAGTACAAATTGCTCAACCTTTCAATGATACATTTGCGAAGATAGAGGTTTGAGAGATCGAGATTATCTAGATTAAAATCGTACATATTTGTGATTTTATTCAAGTCCCGATTCTGACGGTAAGTCAGTGGGGTGAACACTGAACATACATAATAAACATCCAATTAATTACAATTTTCATTTTAAATGTGCCCCAGGCCAACCACTTGAGCCTCCATACCGAGATATATAATAGTAAAGCACAAAATATATGAGTGAGAGCATCATGTCAAATGTTTGAAGTGCAAGGCTCAGCACATAACACTTTTTAATTGGTTTGCTGACAAATTCTGCTGATATCTGCCGACATACGTTAGACTTCATTGCGCCATGTGCTGTAGCCGTCAATACGTGCTGGGCGCCGTCCCACCTCTCCAGGCCACGAAGAAGGCCGGCGTCCTGAACGGGTGTCGCAGCACGTCCCGCACGTCCAGCCGGCGGCCGATCAGCACGTGCCGCGGGTCGCGCACGCCGATCACGACCACGCTGATGACCACGGCCAGCAGGACGACGAAGATGATCAGCCAGGCGATCAGCAGACCGCGGTAGTTCTTCTGCGGCTCCTGCACCTCGGAGACGATGCCCTGCCGTCGACAGGAGACTTGTGGTCCACCTGGGCGCTATACCTATAATACCCAACCGGGGAGGGAAGAACTGTGCTCCACAGAAGCACAATAATACCCAACCGGGGAGGGAAGAACTGTGGTCTACAGCGCCACACTAATACCCAACCGGGGAGGGAAGACCTGTGGTCCACAGCGCCACACTTATACCCTCCGAAGGGAAAGACCTGCGGTCCAAAAGGGCACAGCACAAAACAATCCCGAGGAGAGGAGGCGTGTGGTGCATCTCGGCACAATTATGCCCGACCGAGGAGGAAAAAAAAAACTACGGCCCACAATATGGTCATAATAGAAGACCTGCGAGCTAAGGAAGCACTTCACCCAGTGCCGCGTCAGATGGTGCACTAGCCAGTCATCCACGACGCAGTGATTTCGAGTCTTGCGGCACAGTCTATGTACAGGCGCCGTTTCTGGCGCCATCTATTGAGAAAGTAGGATATTGCACTGATATCGCCAGAGACCGTTACCCTGTTGGACTGATATCGGCAGAGACTCGCACCCTGTTTGACCGGCGCGCCGTTTTTGCTGTGTTTGTGTTTGGCTGCGTCTGTCCCAGCAGCCGTTATATTCGCTTGCCGCTGGATGACTGGCTCAGAGTCCAGGCAGTCGGGGCGGCGAGCACCCCGCACCGAGACACAACTGGGCGCCGGGAGGCCATTGTCACCGGCCCGTGATGAGCCGTTTGGCAGCCTCCCGAGAACGACTGGGCGCCGCAGAGACCGCGCCCATTCACCGTCTGCGCTGCACTGCCCCGGTAACTGCAGCCCTCCAGAGGCAGGTGTTACACTGCCCCGGTAACTGCAGCCCTCCAGAGGCAGGTGTTACACTGCCCCGGTAACTGCAGCCCTCCAGAGGCAGGTGTTACACTGCCCCGGTTACTGCAGCCCTTCCAGAGGCAGGTGTTACACTGCCCCGGTAACTGCAGCCCTCCAGAGGTAGGTGTTACACTGCCCCGGTAACTGCAGCCCTCCAGAGGCAGGTGTTACACTGCCCCGGTAACTGCAGCCCTTCCAGAGGTAGGTGTTACACTGCCCCGGTAACTGCAGCCCTCCAGAGGCAGGTGTTACACTGCCCCGGTAACTGCAGCCCTCCAGAGGCAGGCCGCCACTCACCGTCTGCGTTACACTGCCCCGGTAACTGCAGCCCTCCAGAGGCAGGTGTTACACTGCCCCGGTAACTGCAGCCCTCCAGAGGCAGGCCGCCACTCACCGTCTGCGTTACACTGCCCCGGTAACTGCAGCCCTCCAGAGGCAGGTGTTACACTGCCCCGGTAACTGCAGCCCTCCAGAGGCAGGCCGCCACTCACCGTCTGCGTTACACTGCCCCGGTAACTGCAGCCCTCCAGAGGCAGGTGTTACACTGCCCCGGTAACTGCAGCCCTCCAGAGGCAGGCCGCCACTCACCGTCTGCGTTACACTGCCCCGGTAACTGCAGTCCTCCAGAGGCAGGCCGCCACTCACCGTCTGCGTTACACTGCCCCGGTAACTGCAGTCCTCCAGAGACAGGCCGCCACTCACCGTCTGCGCTGCCCCGGTAACTGCAGCCCTCCTCCCATCGCGGCCGGGAAAGGCGACCGACGCGTAGGAGCCTCCTCCAGAGCTACTTTGAACCCTCACCGAACCTATTGGTTCCCCACATGCACCCCGGCCGAGGGCGGAGTGAAAGAGAGGGAGCTGGGTACTTAAGATGTCAATCGGATACCAACTTTTTGGTATACCGATACCAAACCGATACCAACTCGATATTTGGTATTTCTATCCTAATGTGTTTGGTATTTTGTTAGTGTCATGGACCCTCGCTAAAGTTTAAGAGGCTAAGAAATCGGTAAAAAGTTGGTATTTTCCTCACGTTCCCAAGTTGGTTTGGTTTCGCCGGTATTTCTGCACGGTTTTGTTTGGTATTTGGTTTGATATCAGTATTCCGATTTTCCGTGTTTAACATCACTAGTGGGTACAACCCCCTCACTGTTTCGTCCGTAATTGAGCTAGAGCCTCGCGGAAAAAAAACGAGCAAGTGCGCCGTTACAAGACGCAACGATTGGTACCCGATTTTAATGTCTCGGGTCAATCGGTGACCTCTGAGGTCAGGCAAGTAGGCCAAGGCACGTGTTCGGTTTTTGGTTAATAACATCGCTATTCGCTAGGAATGGCTGCAGAACCGCAAATTTGGCATAATCGTGTTTGCCTAGCTCAGGCGCGTCGCATCATATATGTACTTTTTGTTTGGGTGAAGTCACCTTAAGATGTTGCCTTCGGGTCAAGGTCAGGACAGAGCCACTCAGGTCACGAAGTTGATCGAAAGGGTCATACTGCATATCATTCGATTTAGCAGATCTTCTCGAGCCCATTGGTGGCTTTCCCGACTCTCTAGCTTAATTTGACCGGGAGTTTTTGACGAAAATGGCCAGGACGGCCGGAAGTTAGACTATCGCCGTTTGCCAGGAGAGGGTTACAGACTACCGTCGTTAGCTGGGAGGACCGGACGTCGGTCTCCTGCCGCACGCCACCGTCACACGCACGCGACTGGGGGAAGGGGGGGGGGTGACGATCACGGGTCACCGGTCACCGGGCCACACCCCTGCAAAGGTCAGCCGGCCGTCGAGGCCGTGAGAATGCCCGGTGGGGCAGGAGACACCCGACGGAGCCCAGCAGAACCTGCCGGAGAGGTAAAAACACACCAGCGCTGTTAGCATTGAACCTTAGTGTGCCTACCTTTCTCTGTGGCGTTTTGGGGTTGACCACCTGCAGTGTGTTGTCGGGCTGGACCCGCCAGTCGTTCTGGCCGACCGTGCCGCGCATCTGAAACAACAGACAGCGGGACAGAGCTCAGTGTCAGACAGCGGGCCAGTGCTGAGCAACGGACAATGGATAACAGGGCTCACCACCAGACATCGAGCCGGAGAACAACTAACAACGGGCTGGAGCTCACCAGCAGTCAATGGGCCAGAGCTAAAACAGCTCGACAACATCGGGTCACAGCTGAGCGGCAGACAGCGAGCCAGAACTCAGCAACACATTACGGGATGCAGCCCACCAACAGACAACGGGTTGTATTCCCGAGCCGAGGGTGAGTTAGCCGGCGGCCGTCAATGACGCCAGTTGGCAGCTGGTGACAGCTGGCACGGTTCCGGCCGCCCCGACAGTGCCACGGCTCGCTGCCGCAGCCCGCCCCGGCAGAATTACCGCGCTCACTGCTGGGAGGACGGGCAGTGGGCGGCTCACTACTGGGGGACCTACAGTAGGCGGCGGCCGACCGGCGACCGCGGCCACCCTGCAGCCACACGCGACTGTGTCAGGCGGGCCCGGTCCGCGGCGGCATTCGATTCGTCCGGGGCCGTCCGTATGGACCGTCGGTACTGTGTTAGAGGGAAGGGGAGGGGAGGGGAGGTGTCGGTGGACCGTCGCCGGTGGCCCGCGCTCGTTTGGCAGCCGCCGGGGGACGGAGCGCCGCGCCGCGCCGCGCCACTGCTCGCCGCCGAGGGTGGCCGCTATTCAGAGCCGGCGCGCCGCTCTGAGTTCCGCGCCCTGTCCGCCGGGACGGAGGACCGCTTGGCTGACCGACCTGGCAGCCGGCAGCCGTACGGCCTTCGTAGATGACGGGCGTGGAGGCCAACTCAGAGTGAATGGGAGTGTTGCGAACTAGAAGAACGTTAACTGCTGGGTAAACAAACACGACAAGTGAGCCGTCAGCTCGCTAAGTGAGCGAATGATGCATGCCTTTGAAAGGAGAGGTTGTAATGTTGAACACCGCTTGTCGATGCATCTCTGGTAGGCCTATCGTTCGTTCTATTTGCACTCTAACGTGCCGTTCACCGCGAATAACACTAGACATTACAATGCGAACAACAGCGACTGCAAACGCCTAGCATGACACTAACGCATGTAACAATACGTTTTACATGAACTTCAGTCCATGTTAGCACCAAAACACGGCTAAATGTGCCAACACTGGCATCATTAGCATGAATCTTGCTTTGTTTATCTGATAAACATGCATAAAAGTTGCTGGAATTTATTAAAGTGATTCCTACACAGGTAGGAGTGTGTAGTGACGCGAATGTCAGTCACTTTTGTGTGTGTAAGAATAGACAGCGCTCGGTCCTATGACAGTGAACGGCGCCCAGCCCTATGACAGTGGATGGCGTTCAGCCCCATACGACAGCCGTGAACGGCGCCCAGCCCTATGACAGTGAATGGCGCTCAGCCCCATACGACAGTCGTGAACGGCGCCCAGCCCTATGACAGTGGATGGCGTTCAGCCCCATACGACAGCCGTGAACGGCGCCCAGCCCTATGACAGTGAATGGCGCTCAGCCCCATACGACAGTCGTGAACGGCGCCCAGCCCTATGACAGTGAATGGCGCTCAGCCCCATACGACAGTCGTGAACGGCGCCCAGCCCTATGACAGTGAATGGCGCTCAGCCCCATACGACAGCCGTGAACGGCGCTCAGCCCTATGACAGTGAATGGCGCTCAGCCCCATACGACAGCCGTGAACGGCGCTCAGCGGACGGCGCGGTCTCCGCCCGGCCGGACCGTGCAGTCCTCGGTCGCACTGTGAAGTTCCCGAACCACAGTCGACAGTGCACTTCCCGGACCATAGTCTGACCGAGCAGACCCCCCCCCCCTCCCCGGCGGACCATGCAGTCCTCGGTCGGACCGTTCAGTATGACAGTGGAACCGCAGTTCCCGAACCGCAGTCGGACCATTCAGTCCCGGGTAGGACCGCTCCGACCCGCGGGCCCGGAGACCGCCGTTCACGCTGATTTGCACTTGTCAGACACGCCACACTCTCGTTATGAACGTGACAGGGACCAGCAGCTCTCCAGCTGGGCGATCTATGCAGCTCGCTGTGCTATCAGGCTAATTTGTGAGTACTGTATCACATTGAAGCTGTGTGGCCCGACATGCTGCGATGGTAGTCGGGCACCAGTTAGTGCCGGCGGGCCGCGGCGCCGCGGGACGGTGGCCAAGCACCGGCGGCGGCTCAGCAGCGCCCAGTGACGGACGGCCGCGGCAGCTGCCGTGTTTCAGAGATGGTGTTTAGCCGTGACTGTGACCGCGCGCGGCGGGACAGTGGGAAGGGTCGGCACAGAGCTGTGGCGCAGCGGGAGGTACCGCCGCAGTGACGAGAGGGCTGGCCGGGCAGGGACGGGCGCCGGTGGACCGGCCGAGATTCCGGGCGAGAGAGGACGCCTATGAGCGCCCGCCACTGTGGGAGCGTGTCCTGTTTGAGAGGTTATGCTATATGTATGTATGTACTTACTTACATACGAGAACGTACCCAAGTTCACGTGTATGAAGTTACATAGCTGCGCTAGATGTCACTGCTATTTGCGCCTGAACTTATGCTGTACCGTACGTCTTCAAATCTATGTCGTGCTTCTGCCGCTAGATGTCACTACAGTTTGCGCCTGAAGTTATGCTGTACCGCACATATCCAAACCTATATTGTACCGCTGCCGCTAGATGTCACTACAGTTTGCGCCTAAAGGTATATGTACTGTACCGCTTATCATTGCAATAGTGTAAATACAGCTGAGTAAATGAGGATAAATTCCGCCTACTTCTGCCGCCTCCTGGTGACACGTTAAAGTCCTCGGCCAGCTTCAGGTTACATGTAATCAATTTTTCGTCGCATAGGAATACAAATGATGTCTGGAAAATGGTGAGTATTTAAAAATGGTGAGCATTTCAGCTCATTTCTTTTCGATGGACTCTCGTCTCTGATGGTTTCCTACTCCAAATGGTGCATCATCACCTTTTTACACCACTCATCAGCTTGTGACGAATTTGGCGGAGACGTCATGTTGCGATGTAATCGAACGCTCGAGGTCATTGTTGTTATGCTCACTCTGATTTATAGTTCTTTTGACATCAATTATGTGTGCATTCAGCTGCACGCAATTGGGTATTATGGATTATAATCGAATGACAGCCTTTTAACGTGACAGCGCCAAACAATGCATTAATTTTTTAGCAATTCAGTTGAATTTACCAAGTTGGTTCGTGTTCCGCACTTCCCATGGGTTTGATAAGCATTTGAGTTTCTGTTGGTTTTCCATTTGTGTAAAATTGGCATCTCTAGCATCCACTGTTGTCAGTATAGTTTCCGTCGGGTCAGGGCGCCATGTATGTACATACCGGACGAGCCTGCGCCCCGGGGAAAGCGGACCTGTCCACAGCACGGACGACGCGACAGTCGTGATTGGGATGTGGCGCTCATTATTTCAAGGAACGATCATGATTGTGCGAGAAGCCATCGGATTAATTATAATCTGCCACCTGGACTATCTATTCTGGATTATCTGTCGGTCATTACGGCGTGTCTCCTCCCGTCAAACCCAAAAGTTCTGTCGAGTCTCCGGAGATGAAAAGGACTCCGGAGATGCCGGCGGTCCAGTGTCAGATGCAGCAGCACACAGGAACGGTGTTGTTCGTCACAGCGTGTCTCCGTCTGTCGAGCTGAGGTCACTGCTCAGAGCTCAGGGCTCAGGGTTCAGGCGGTCCGCGCAGTGTCAGATGCCCATCAATTGGCCCCATAATGACCCGCGGCAAAATAAACCGAGCCGCCCCGGCAGTGCCGACAGAACGACTGCTTTCAAACATCGGGCGATCGATGACCGTGATGTAATGACGATACCAAAAGCTTAACTCGGATTCGCAATGTCATTAGCGTAGGATGACGTCGGTCTCGCAGCACTCCATCGCTAGTCAACAGAAAGCAACTGATTTATTTCACCTTATGGCACCCCAAGCATTGTCAAAATAGGAACTGCATGTGACGACTCAGTCAGTCTAGTTGTCTTATAAAGACCTAACCCTGTACTTACCGTCTGAGAACCGTCCTTGACTCGCAAAATTGCTTGCGGAATGTGTCTCATGGCGTCATTCAAACGTCGACTGTCACCCACTTTCAGCTACGTGGCGAAACATGGGGGCTCATAGCGCACTTTGCCTGTCACTGGGTTCATGGGTGAAGATATTCATTTACAAAAAGGCACTTAACAAATAAAGATTTGAATGTAGATGTTACAGCTTAGAGAAATGGAGAATATAGCCGTAAATTTGGCCCCTGAACTGGCTCACCGATATCCCCGCCGGTGGTCGATACCTAATTGTTGTCATGGTCGGGACTTCGGGAGCGCTGTTTTTCACTCTGTCGCCTTTCCACAATCATGTTATTATGTGTACCAATATCTATGTAGCTGTAGGTCACGTAGTGACTTTCGTCACCGTCCATTAAAATAAGCGCAGAATCGGCAGTCTGTCACTTCTACAGCCCGCTTCTACCGTTTCTTCAATTATCCAAGGGATAAACAATAACAGTAAGTAAAACTCATACCGCGCCGGGTCGGGGGGGGGGGGGTGTTTGAACACCCCCCCCCCCTGCGGTTTTTGGCACACCTGTTTGTGCATCTTTTCCGCACATGTTGTGAAAATTTCAGACCCAGGTCACCTTAGGTCAGGGCACCAGGTCACGCCAAGTGACCTCACCTCAGAAAAAAATAAGAATGCTCGTCATAGCTACACAGATTGATCGATTGCCTTGAAACTTTCAGAGATTGATTAGAGCAACATTATCTATAAAATGTTTATCTCGGAATTTTGATATCGGTGACCTAAGGTCAGGTCAATTTTGCGACCTCTCCATTACAAGTCAATGGGAGAAAATTGAAAAGCGTCTGTTTTGCACGAACGCTATTCTAGACACTCTCAAACATCGAGATGTAGGTAAAATGGAGACACTGAACCGGAAAATGGCAACTGTGACCCCTCGTTATGTCCCCGAGGTCATCTCAGGTCACGAACAGAATCTAACAGTTTTTCGCTAATAACTTCCGATAAAGACGTGCTAGAGCGCTGAAAACGCCTTAGATGTGTTCGGCTTGACGTTGCGGATCGACTGATATGCAACATGACCTTTTCCGGTCAGGTCATGACCTTGACCTGAGGTCAAATTTTCAAGTTGACCTTTCACGGTCAAATTATAGTTCATTCGACGCGTCTCGACGAGAGGAGCACGATGCTGGCAAAAGTAATGTCACGGCTCTTTTGAGTCAAAAGTTATTGCCGAAAAAACATTTTTCGTAAAAACGGCTATTTTTGGAGTTTTTGCCCTCTGGAGGCTAAACCGTTGACCTGAGGTCAAATCTGAGAACATTGCTTAGAAAGGTCTGTAAAAGGACTATCGAATGCGCTTTTCCGCGGCGCTGTAGCTCTATCGGTTCCCGAGATAGCCGTTGGCAGTTTCCAAAATGTTGAAATAGTGAACATTTGACCTTTGGTGACCTCTGGTGACCTGACCTTTGACCTGACCCAAAAAATGGCCGAAGTGTTTTCGTCCTTATTTTGGACGTTCTTTCGATTACCGCTTACCGCGTGTCGCTACGTGGCCCAGGAGCCGAGTTAGAAGGGGGGGGGTGTTCAGACACCCCCCCCCCCCCGGCCCGGCGCGGAATCTCACAGCACCTGCCCGGCGCGGGTTAAAAGCATCTCTAGTTTCTGTTCTGAGCATCACGTATGATCAGCGATCAGTCCTTGCTTACCTTGCATGTGCTGTGGGAATTTCTGAACAGTTGGCGAGTTGCTGCGGCCACTGGCAGTGCCGTTTAGTCTTTGATGCCTGTGCCTCCTGCTGCCCGCGTGCCGTTTCAGTGTCCGAAACAGCGGTAAGACGACTGCACCAACCCCACAATGCTGCACACCACGCGTCAGTTTTGTTTACTTTCTACTGTGCAGTGCGCGCTCCAGTGAAGGCGACCAGCTCCGCTGACAGCCCGCTGATATTTCCACCGCTCGGTGAAGCTGCCAGCGGGGACCTCTCCGTTATTCGAGACGTTTGGCCGTCTTCCGGCGCTCGTCACTCCATTTCACCAGATGGTTGTCACCCAGGTGATATTTCCCGCCGCGGACTTCGTCAGACGTCAGCGCGAAAACCGTCACTGACCCAGTCACCGCGCAGGCCCGCACCCACACAGCAAATAGCACGGGGACGGAGCACTGCTGGTGAGGAGCACTGCTGGTATACTGGTGCAGTGCGCCGCTGGTACCGGTACGGTGCACGGAGCCGAGCCGCCCCTGCTCCACAGGGCAGCGCCAGCCGGCTACGTTCGTTCGGTGGCGGCCGGCCGCTAGCACTGGCGCGGCCGCGGCGGGCGGGCGGGCGGGCGGGAGGCCAGCATTCTGACAGCGTCGCGTCGCCGCGCGGCGGCCAGGGCCGGCTCCGACACGCGGTGACCGGACCAAGAATGTGGGCTGTGGCCCACCACCGCCACATCCTGGGGAGACGGCCGGGCAGATGGGAACCCCCATGACTCCCAGAGGGTACGCGGCGGGCAGATGGGAGCCCCTATAACTCCCAGAGGGTACGCGGCGGGCAGATGGGAGCCCCAGAATTCGCTGGGGTTCAGGGGGCAAGATGGAAGCCCTCAGAAATCATTTGGTATGCGGGGGTAAATGTATGCCCTCATATCTCACTATGAATTAGATGAGAGTCCTCAGCATAAGTACCTCTGGAGATAGATGAGTCAGATGAAACACCTAAAACTCAGGGGGTCAGATGGGGGACCCTCAGCTCGGTCAGGGGGGAGGGGTGAAGGGCCAGGTGGGCCGACGGTCTGCCCTCCCCACTTCCCCAGCCCCACGGGGAGCCGGCGATGGACACTCAACACGCCCTCCTTCGGCGTCTTGATGGATATCACGTCAAACGGGAGTCAAGGCGCTGAGCTCAGCTGTCATGGGACCACAGAACGGCGGCGCTCCGTAAATAATATCACTCACAGTCCGAGCCTCGCCGTCTGACAGAGTGTTAAAAATGAACCCAAAGATAATGTTGTTACCATGGAAAACATGAACTTCTGCTGTGTGTTTCTTGGCTAAGAGGGACGGAGCTGTGCCTCGCTGAGGCAGAGAAATAGCTTTAATATGCAAACATCAGAGATCTGAAGGTATCCCGCGGTGTACTGACTCATGGAAGTGCTTTTCTCATAACTCATAAAGCCTTTTCTTGCCACGTCATCAGCAGGGATTCGTGTTGTTAAAATGCGTCGATACAAGCTATTGAGCAATGCTTTGGAACTCGGCATTATATAATAACCGTGAGCTCAAACTAGAAAGAAAATAAAAATGGTATTTCAAACCACGATCAGTGGCAAGTTTTGGCACAACTTAAGGCAACTTTAATAATTAAAGCTTTAATACAAACAACTTTGGGGCTCAAATACTTGCGAAGGCAAGCGATAAAAACGATTTATATTATGCAGCCTGCTCTAACCGCAATCCACAGATGGCATGTGCCCTGCACAGTGCACACTGCACACACTGTACAGTCTGTCTTAATAAAAGTACCGCACAAAGTGACGGTGGATCCATCAAGCCTGGCTGAGGTAGGGCCTGCTATAATTTGAAAGTCACCGAACCAATTGACCTAGGGAATGGACGAGGATGTGAATTGCTTCAATTTAGTAGGCCCTTCCTCGGTCAGGCATGATGGATCCACCGTCACTTTACGCGGTACTTTTAAGACAGACTGTATAGTCGGTCAAATGTGTATCTTTCCCGGCCGCCAAGTGGCGCTACGGTCTGGATTCGATAGTTGGCTGAGCCCACACCCCAGCTGCCCTGGCGGCTCTGGCGGCCCTGTGACGTCACGCGCGGGGGGCGGAGCTACACAGCAGCCGGCTGGAGAGTGACCGCAGACCAGCACTGGACGGCCTCGCCGCCGGGTGCTCCGGCGGGTCTGGCCGGGAGAGGCGAGCAAGCGGATGCGTTAGGAATCTAACGAATGTGAGGGCAGCGCGATGGTCTAATGGTGGCTGTGCTTTCATGCGCCGTGTAAATTGTAGACTGAGTGCTATGAGCTATCAAAGGATTATCTGGTGTTTCAACAGGGGTCGCTGACCTAAAAATTAAGATGGTTGCTCTTGATACGATTGAATGCTTGGTGATATGATGATTAGCGCAAGAGAAATATTTAATCGAATTATGACCGGTTATTTTTTGATAAAGCAAAAACTTTTTTTCATTTTTTTTTGGCATTAACGGGAAAGCGTTAAGCCATATCTACTGAAAATCTTAACCTGCGCCGGGCCGGGGGGGGGGGCGATTTGCGCCCCCCCCCCAGGTTTTTCGCAGATAGCCGAAAAACGGCGGCGTGCAGCGCCACCAAATTTTGCATACCTGTTTTTCCATCTATTGCGCATACTGTGTGCGAATTTTGACCTTATATGACTTAAGGTCAGGTCAACAGGTCGGTTTGAATGACCTAACGTCACAAAAAGTTTGAACTTGCACCAAAGCTACAACTGTTGACCGATCGATATGAAACTTTCAGGAGTTAGTAAGGGTGACAATATCCACAAAATGTATGTCTCGGATTTTTTTTATCTATGACCTGAGGTCAGGTCAATCTCACAACCTCCCCATTATAAGTCAATGGGAGAAATTTCAACTTCATCTGAATGCCACCCGATCCACACAATATATTCAGGATCATGGTGTTGCAGGTCCCTGGTGGTCATTCTACCGAAAGATGTCACCGGTGACCTTTGGAAGGTGTCGCTAGGTCATCCGAGGTCACCTGAGGTCACCAGCGGGGGTTTTCTGCAATAACTTTTGAGTGAATAGAAATAGAGACTCCGTTCGACGTTTATCATGTTTGTCTGATCAATGCGGATCGAATGATATGCAACATGACCTATTTCAGTCAGGTCATGACCTTGACCTTAGGTCAAATTTTCAACTTGACCTTTCGAGGTCACATGATATAGCTTTCGATGCGCTTTGACAAGCTAAGAACGATGACGTTCGAATCGATCCTTTATCTTGTCTGGATCAAAAGCTATTTAAGAAAAAGTATCAGAAGTAAAAACGTTTTTTATCGCTCTTTCGAACGCCGCCTACCGCTTGTCTCTACGACGCTCAGGAGTCGAGTTAGACGGGGGGGGGCGTAAAACCGCCCCCTCCTAAAACAACCTCCTAAACCAACCCTCCTAAAGATTTCTGCAACCGTTCTACCCTCATCACTCAACTGAATAATTCTCCCCTTTTCAAAAACGGTGCAGTGATACGGCATCTCAAACCTAGAGCGACTACACTCAAGTTCAAGCTAACGGTCTCCACTCTCCAATTCAGATACCTATCGAAACCTTTCCGCGACCCGGTGCTGTGGCTCAATCAGTGGGCCAGCTGGCCGCAGACCATACCCGCAGGGCATGAACCTTTGACCATATTAGGTCAACACGCCGTGGCCCCAGCCCGCTCGCCAGGTCCGCGCTCATTGGCCGACGCGGCAACCGCACAACCTGTCCCCTCCCCTCCGTAGTACTCGCAGCGGCCGGCGGATTCAGCCAAGTTACCGACCTGCCCAGCGTGGTGAGGGCCGGCCGGGAAAGATACATATTTGACCGACTATACAGTCGTGTACAGGTTGATGGTCCCCTACTCTTTATCCACCGGGTTCCTATGGCTCAGCATTGGCAGCAGCCGCCTGGTACCGGTAGGCTGTGCCGCATGACCCGAGAGTGAAGCGGCACAGTCTACCCACGCCGTTTGACATCGGCTCGGGTCGCCGGGTGGAGCGCTTTGTAGACCAGCTGTTGCGTCAGACCAGCGCGGGGGAAGGGGCTCGTCTCGGTGGTTGGCGTGGGCTGGCGAGTGGTGTGGAGCGTGTTGGTGGACCATGGGGGCTGGGCGGGTGTGTGTGGTCACTTGCTGCATTGCACATTTTGCGTCGCTTAACAATTGCATTCCTGTTTTTGCTAGGCACAATGCACGGAAGACCCAGCGAATATAATTTACTTTACTTGTGCATTGTACAAAACGTGATTTGGCACGGTATCGAGGCAACCATAGGTCTTGTGCCTATGCATGATATTTAGGCAATACGTTTATGAAAACGGTAGATTGATGCTGGATGTCAATTCGTATTGCTAAATGTCGGCACGTATTAAATGAATGAATGATTCAATCAATCAATCACACAATCAATAGACATGTATAAAACCGTTTAAATTGCTCGCAACCACTAATAGCAATCACACCATCCTAACTCGGAAAAGCAGCCGGAGCCCTGATGAGGCTCGAACCGGGACTCCACGCTGTAAATTTTGCCAATGATCCATCATCATTCCACCAAGCTAGAGTAACCGGCACCCGAACCCACAAAAACATTAATTGACTTTGCCGCCGACCTCCCGGCCCCGCCGCCCGCCCGGCCAGACTTTGCCCCGGCCATAGCCACCATCCGGTGTAGCTCAGCGTAGGAGTGCTCGACTGTCAAACTGACCGGTAGTGAGGGGCCCGCTTCGGATGCTGGATGTTTATTTCCCGGTGGGAGGCTTTACGTTTAGTCCACTTTTCAGAAAGATCATTTGGTGACTGACCTGTTTTCTTTCTTTGCTGCAATTCATGAGGAGACCGTATGCACCCTTACCTGTCCTTCCGCACCCGACTTGGGAGATGGGTGGTTGCCCCCCCCCCATGGGTTTGTGAATATCTCTAAAACGAATTTTTGGAGGGGGGATACGATCGGTTCTATGCGACAAGTGACCACACACGCCCAGCCCCAGGTCCGCTCACTCCCTACCCATATCACCCCTCCCCACACCACACTCCAGCCCGCCTCATCCACCGAGCCGAGCCATAACGAGCCTCAGCGCCCCGGGGCGCGACCTGTCAGCGAACCGGCGGGGACGCGGGCCGGCGGTTGCGTGCGCCGCGGGGGCAGGGGCGCGTCCAGGCGTCGGGGACATCGAGGCGGCGCGAGCTGGCGCCGCCACGGCGACACTGGACCAGACCTGATAATTGGACACCTCAACATTCAGTCGTTGAAGTCTAAACTGCCGGATCTGCGAGACGACATTCAAAGAGGAGTTCACGGATTTGATATATTGTCACTGTTATTATATAACAGTGTTCGCTGACAGGTCGCGCCCCGGGGCGCTGAGGCTCGTTATGGCTCGGCTCGGTGGATGAGGCGGGCTTGAGTGTGGTGTGGGGAGGGGGTGATATGGGTAGGGAGTGAGCGGACCTGGGGCTTGGCGTGTGTGGTCACTTGTCGCATAGAACCGATCGTATCCCCCCTCCAAAAATTTGTTTTAGAGATATTCACAAAGCCATGGAGGGGGGGGGGGCAACCAC